GCGGCTATGAATGTTAGTTCGAACTAACGTCCGTTAGTTCGAACTAACATTGTAGTGTAGACATACCCTATAATATTTTATACTTACATATACAGGCAGCAGAGATTGTGCAGTAATATTTAAGTGTTTAAACTACAAGGTCTGTTTTATTTTTCAGCGACCAGAATGTATCAATCAAATGTGCTGAAAGTGGTTTGCCATCTACCTTCCAGCAAAACAGAAGCTATTTTGATGGTGAGGATTTTAACGTTTATATCTCCTACAAACTTTTCTAAAGAATCTCTAGATTTGCAGTTTTGCAAAACTTTTAATAACATGTAAAATGTTGAAAAGTTGGCGATTTTACATAGTTAACTTCTCATTTTGCAGAGCCCTCCTTTATTATGATTTTTTTTTAAATAAATGAAAACCCCTCAAGTATGTTGGTACAGTTCTTGTTTTCTCCATAATCAGGGCTTGACAAGCGGCGGCGAAAACCGCTCGCCAGCCCCGTACTGCGCATGTGCAAGACCCACATTGAGCATGTGCGCGCCGCCGGTAAACAGGGTGTGCGGCTGAAATCTACTCGCCATGGGCGAGTAAATTCTATAGTTTGTTGAGCCCTGTCCATAATGTTAGCCAAATATGCAACTAAAATAAGCTTGGGAGACCTCTTTCACCCCAATCTGGTCATGAGGATCATCAGACTATAAGGCACCCATATATTAATTATCACTTAAATCCATGTTTCATTGTAAATCTGAGTTGATGGTTACATAATTCAGATTGCAATGCATTAGTGCAGTTTTTTGGTTACCCATGCCTTTCAGTATGCTGAATTAGACTGTGTGTTTGGTACTTAGTTAGCTTTCATACCTTGATTTTTCACTGGTAGAGCCCACTAGCATTTTTCTATAGATGGGGAAACTGAGAGGTATAGAGAGGAAGGGACTTGCTGAAGGTCACCCTGCAGACCAGTGGCATAACTGGAAATAGATCACAAGTCTTCCGAATCTCAGCCCAGTGCTCTAATAACTAGGTCACACAAACAACTTCCCTTCCTTGAGTATACTATACAAAGGTATGGCTGAATTCAGTTTTATATATTTTAAAAATTGGAGCTTTTGAATTTTTATGCATTTAAATGTTCATAGCTATGGAAAATCATGCGTGGGGGTGGGGAAGAGAGGGTGGAGTTTGAATCTCAACAGAAAGTTACTGATCAAAGAGTTAAAGCAGGAGTGGGGAGCCTTGCCTGGATCCAGCCCTCGAAGCTGACCCCTCTCCCTGCTTCTCAAGGGGGGCACAAAATATATTGAGCTGAGGCCCCCCTAGGTTCTGGTGTCCAAGGTGAATGTGAGAAGTCGCTCTCAGTTGGGGGCCATGTCAATGAGGGTTGGGGTTTGTGGGTATGTGTGTGTTTCTTTTTTTCTTCTCACTTCTATACATTCCCCGACTGATTTTTTTTTCTTTTGTGGCGTAGTGGTGCCCCACCCCTGAATTAAAGCTTCATAACTGTTTAAAAAAAGGTCACCATCATGTCAGAATATACAAATTATCCTTAAACTCTTAGGTTTTCACGCAGTATTATTCTGTGACTATCTGTAAATTTCAGTTATTGATGAAAATATTTGAGGGGGGGTTGGGCATGGCTGTTGGTTATGCTTCCTGGGGTTGTGAGGCGCCTTACTGCTGCTTATCCTTAATATCATAGAATACTAGAACTAGAAGGGACCTCGAGAGGTCAAGTCCAGTCCTCTGCCCTAATGGCAGGACCTAGTACCATCTAGACCATCCCTGATAGATGTCTGTCTAACCTGCTGCTAAATATCTCCAGAGATGGAGATTCTACAACCTCCTTAGGCAATTTATTCAAGTGTTTAACCACCCTGACAGGATGTTTTTCCTAGTGTCCAACCTAAACCTCCCTTGCTGCAGTTTAAGCCCATTGCTTCTTGTCCTATACTCAGAGGCTAAGGAGAACAATTTTTCTCCCTCCTCCCTTTTAGATACCTGAAAACCACTATCATGTCCCCTCTGTCTTCTCCTTTCCAAACTGAACAAGCCCAGTTCTTTCACTCTTCCTTTGTAGGTCATGTTCTCTAGACCTTTAATCATTCTTGTTGCTCTTCTCTGGACCTTCTCCAATTTTTTCACAACTGTCTTGAAATATGGTGCCCAGAACTGGACACAATACTCCAACTGAGTTCTAATCAGCCCAAAGTAAAACGGAAGAATGACGTCTTGTGTCTTGCTCACAACATTCCTGTTAATGCATCCCAGAATCATGTTTGTGCTTTTTTTGTTTTTGTTTTTTGTTGTTTTAGTTTTTGCGCAACAGTGTCACACTGTGACTCATTTAGCTTTTGTGGTCCACTATGACCCCTAGATCCCTTTCTGCTGTACTCCTTCCTAGAAAGTCGCTTTCCATTCTGTATGTATGAGACTGATTGTTCCTTCCTAAGTGAAGCACTTTGCATTTGTCCTTATTAAACTTCATCCTATTTACCTCAGACCATTTCTCTAGTTTGTCCAGATCATTTTGAATTATGACCCTATCCGCCAAAGCAGTTGCAGTCCCTCCCAGCTTTATATCATCTACAAATTTAATAAGTGTACTCTTTATACCAATATCTAAATTGTTGATGAAGATATTGAACAGAACTGGTCCCAAAACTGACTCCTGCGGAACCCCACTTGTTATGTCCTTCCAGCAGGATTGTGAACCGTTAATAACTACTCTCTGAGAATGGTTATCCAGTCAGTTATGCAACTCAACTTATAGTAGCCCCATCTAAGTTATAGTTGCCTAGTTTATTGATAAGAATATCATGCAAGACTGTATCAAATACCTTACTAATGTCTAGGTATACCATGTCCACTGCTTTTCCCTTATCCACAAGACTCTTTATTGTATCAAAGAAAGCTTTTAGATTGGTTTGACATGATTTGTTCTTTACAAATCCATGCTGGCTGTTACCTATCCCCTTATTTGCAGAGGATTTCCTTAATTACTTGCTGCATTATCTTTCCTGGCACAGAATTTAAACTGACTAGTCTGTAGTTTCCTGGGTTGTTCTTATTTCCCGTTTTATAGATGGGCACTATATTAGCCCTTTTCCAATCTTCTGAAGTCTCTCCTGTCTTCTGTGATTTTTTTTCCCCCAAAGATAACTCATTGAGTATTCTAGGATGCATTTCATCAGGCCCTGGTGACTTTTCTAAGTGATTTTTAACTTGTTCTTTTTTTTTATTTTATCTTCTAAACCTACGTCCTTCCCACTAGCATTTAATGTTAGGCATTCCTTCATCAAGAGACTTTTAGGTGAAGACTGAAACAAAGAAGTCATTAAGCACCTCTGCCATTTCCAAGTTTCCTGTTGCTGTTTTTCCCTCCTCACTGAGCAGTGGGCCTACCCGGTCCTTAGTCTTCCTCTTGCTTCTCATATATTTATAGAAACTCTTCTTGTATGAAGATGCCCTGTCTGTGTGGCTATGGATGAGTTTCCCAACACCACCAGCAAGGTTCCTGTGAACTGTGCCACAGCACCACCCCACAACTGCTCAGGGCTGCCATTCAGAAAGCTGCCTGGCTAGGGGAGGGGCACTTCTCCTTCTCCCTCTCCTACAGCAGCACCTCCCTGCTGAGAACAGAGCAGGGAGTCTCTCCCAGCTGGTGCTGCTGCTCACTGTTCTGTCCTTAGCACAGAGTTGCAGCTGTAGCTGAGGAAGAAGTGCAGGGCTCATTAAGCAGCTGTGATGCCATGCAGCTTACAGGGAACCTTGACCAATAGTGTCTGGCAACCCAAGAACTCCTTTCCAGGCCTCCCTCTTTCATTACAGGTTAATGAGGTACACTCCAACCCCTAAATCTTTTAGTTGTCTCTTTGGAGTGCCCAGCCCCAGTCCAGTGTGCACTCTCAGAATTCCCAGATCTCTGTACCCAAAGGAACAATACATCTCTGCTTGCCAGTTACTCCATAGAACACAGCTCTGCTTAATACACAAGAACTTAGATTTGTTTGTAGAGATAACAAGTTTATGTAACATAGAACAGTCACATGATCACATGTAGAAATATAGGAAACAGATATATATGAATGAAATAAAATCATTGCATGCATACTAGAGGCTAAACGTAATTAAAAAGAGATTTTTGTGGGTCAGAGCATAACCTCACCTAAAATTCTTCCACTACATTACAGCCAGGTCTGGCTGAGATCTTCTTTCATGAAACAAGCATGCTGTTGTCTTGCCTTCTCAGTGGAAAGATTGAGGGGTTTTTTTTCTTGTCCCTATAGTTATACTTCATTTTCTACACTTGCAGGCAGGATAACTCTCACGGCAAGTACTTATCTCCATTGGAAACTTCATAATCACTTAGAATTTTTGATTACACTGTAAATGGGTGTCCATTGTAAACCATACAATACACAATTTACATTGCCAGATGGATAAACATAACCTGTGTTACCACCTCTGATGACCAGCCCCAAGACTGAGAATTTAAGAATTATAATTTTCAGTATGACACATACTTAACTCCTTACATATTATCCATGTATGTGTTTCACTATCATTGAGTACCTGTATGAGGCCAATGTTCACTAGAAACTTTATATGGCTTATTTTGAACTTGTAAGTAAATACCAGAGCCTGAGATGCCTGTAGACTTGATGTACTGGTGCCCCCCTTCCCTCCCCACTCCCTGTTGACACCAAGAGGCCCTTTGGTCACAGATATGAAATCAACATTTACCAATTAAAAGTCTGGTTCTTCAAAGCTTAGTCCGTAAACTGGGGTGGCTGAATCTAAGTGACCCTGTGAGCTCTATATGACAATTTTAAGAAATTGAAGAATCAGGGCATACCTCCTTTGGCACAGGTCTTCAGCCCCATCCCAAGGCTGGGTTGATTAATCACTTGTGAAGTTTGTGAACAGGTGAGTGCTAACAGGGAGTTTAGAGAGGGAGTTTGGAAGGGGAGAGGGAAGGGCGTGAGGTTCTCTTGCCTTTCTTTTAAAGTCTCTCTCCAGGACAGCAGGGATGGATGATGATGGGTCTACTGCTGCTGTTACCTGCACAGCATGTGCCATGTTAGTCTTCCTCCCAGAAGAAAGAACGGATTTCATCTGCACTAAGTGCAAGTAGGTCACCATTTTGAAGAAAAAATTAGAGGGTTGGAGGCCCAAGTGTTGACCCTATGCTTGATCCAGAGAGGATGAAGACTCCCTCGATAGAAGGCAGCGTTTAATAC